TGCACCTGCCCAGTGGTGGACTGACAACTCATGGGGCCCCTGGGCAATAAGTGATCATGGGGCCTCTGTGTCCTTGTCCACACTCAAAGCACACCCAAAAAAGCCTATAAAAGGTATTTCATGGGGCCCCCTACTGACCCCGGGCCCTCGGGCAGTGCACGATTGCTCAAATGGTCAGTCCGCCCCTGCACCTGCCTACACACTAATTCTGGTGACAGCCAGGGATTTCCCATTATTTGGAGGGATTTGCTGTAATTGGATGTTTTGACCATGGCGCAGGAAATGAAGGTAAATCTTCCAAAATGGCAAAAAAAAAAAACCCAACAAAAAAAAAAAACCTAGCAAGTTATCCAAAATTAAATCAAACGTTTTGCCTTTGGTTCTACTTTAGTATGTGTTTATTTCACATCAGTGATTGGTGAAGTGCAAATTTGGGATCCACCTTTCCTTTGACATTCCTGTATTTGTGATTGGACAGAGAGAGAAGATGAGAGGAACGCAGACAAGACACGTGATAGCAAGTTTCTAACACATACATTCATTTTGTTGGAATGGAAACGAGAAAAGTCAACACTTAAAAATACTTTTTATTTTATAATTTTAACATTAAAATATCAGACGATCAGAATGAGTCTTTGCCTTAGCTGCAGTCATAACATGGACAGACGGCTACACCCCAAGAAAGACCGCATTGTGACCGATTTTAAAGAAACATTTGACCTTTATTTTGCACCCAAAATGTGCTCTGCTTCCTCTTAAAGGAGTTGTGTAGGCAAATGTAAAAACATTCTCAGAATATTGCTGAGGGTCAACTGTATGGCAAAAGGTGTGTAATACACTCATCGCGGCTTATTTCTTTTTTTCTATGTCGGTCACTGACATCACATCCTCATATCTGCCCACAGGCAGTGACACACTGGGACACAATTAAGGAGACACTGCAGAAAGATATTCAGACTATGGTGAGAGGTGATCCAAACAGAGGGCAACAGTAGCTCTAAAAGCATGCCACCTGTTCATTTTGAGTTTTTCCCCATTGCTCACAACATTTCAGCAGAATTAATTATTGACCATATTACCTTTGCCAAAGCTCACATACTCCCTCATTTACTTCTAGCATTCTACAATACCTATTGCCGGATAGAACCGGAAGCTATGACTCTATTCAGCCTGTCACAACCCCTTTAAAGGGGAAATAACGGTTTCAGGAAAGTACCACCTGGATACATGGAAAACACATCAAAAATACATTAATGTCTCGGGAAATAATATCATTGGTTACCATAAATTATTTTCTCTGGATTACATGTGATGTATTCTTTGTCCCAAATACATTACCTATCTGGGATACTTTGTTCACAACACTGCTAGAAGATCAAGATAGAAATAATGTATTAACACCATTATTTATCATACAAACCTGTCCGAAGGAGGACTGGCCACCAAAAAATATAAATATATAAATAGTTCTGACATTTGGATAATGATGATCGTCGTAAATAAATAACAATGTCATTATTTGGATGGCTATAATGTTTAGCGATATGCTTTGTTATGAATGATGAATATACAGTTCAGTAATATATTTCTGTACATCCTCCAGGAAATTGCTTTAGAAAGTTTTTGAAGTTACTTAAGTCATATAAAAAAAGTTTCCATCTATACATGTGGAATTATTTTATTCTCAGTGGGTTCTCTTACAGTTTATCTCCAACCGATGAGAGATATTACTCCTCTTTAATTATGTTGTGATTTGTGATGTGTAACCTCTACATGTACCGTACTAAGATTCAGTGTGATGTTCCAAATAGACATTTAGGTCCCATGGCCTTTCTGCTAACCTTTCTAGATATTGCCCTACCTTCAGAGGCTGGATCTAATAGTCATGGGAATATCTATATCACCATTCTTCACATGGCAGCTCCACCACAAGTCTATGTCCTAATACAATATCACTACTTACCTATCTCTCTGATGGCATCCCCTTACTGTCTAGGTGTTTACTCAGCATTGACTCTACCTGCTGTCATCAGTATGTCTTGATTGTGGTTTATTCAACCATTTCTGTTTGCATTCCCCATGTACTTTTTCTTTTTGAGGGAGTCATTTACGGCATGGGACCTCAACTACAAGCTTCTTGTCTTCAGTGAATAACATCACTTTCTGCAATGTGTAACCCATGTATAGCCTGTCACAGTTCTTCCAATGGCTGCTCCACCAACAGTCTATGACCACATACAGTATCACTATTTTCCTCTTTGTCTGATGGCAGCCGTGTACTCACTGTGTAGGTCTTTACTGAGCTTTCACTCTACCTGTAGTCATCAGTATGTCTCGATTGTGGTTTCTTCAATCATTTGTGTTTGGGTTCCTCTTGCAGCTTGTCTTTGGAGGGATCCATTTACGACATGGGACCTCAATCACAGCTATCTTGTCTTCAGCGAATAATATTACTGATTGAAATATGTGACCCATTTATACTCTGGCACCATTCTTTCTATGACTGCTCCACCAAAAGTCAAGAACCTCCTGTAATATTGTTACTTACCTCTCTTGCTCTGGTGGCTGTCCCTTACTCACTGTCTAGATCTCTACTGAACACTCACTCCACCTGCTGGCATCAGTATGTCTTGATCGTGGTTTATTCAACCATTTCTGTTTGCATTCCCCATGTACTTTGTCTTTGGAGGGAGTCATTTACGGCATGGGACCTCAACTACAAGCTTCTTGTCTTCAGTGAATAACATCACTTTCTGCAATGTGTAACCCATGTATAGCCTGTCACAGTTCTTCCAATGGCTGCTCCACCAACAGTACATGACCACATACAGTATCACTATTTTCCTCTTTGTCTGATGGCAGCCGTGTACTCACTGTGTAGGTCTTTACTGAGCTTTCACTCTACCTGTAGTCATCAATATGTCTCGATTGTGGTTTCTTCAATCATTTGTGTTTGGGTTCCTCTTGCAGCTTGTCTTTGGAGGGATCCATTTACGACATGGACCTCAATCACAGGTTTCTTGTCTTCAGCGAATAATATCACTGATTGAAATATGTGACCCATTTATACTCTGGCACCATTCTTGCTATGACTGCTCCACCAAAAGTCAAGAACCTCCTGTAATATCATTACTTACCTCTCTTGCTCTGGTGGCTGTCCCTTACTCACTGTCTAGATCTCTACTGAACACTCACTTCACCTGCTGTCATCAGTATGTCTTGATCGTGGTTTCTATGACCGTTTCTGTTTGTGTTCCTCTTGCAGCCTGTCTTTGGAGGGATCCATTTATGACATGAGACCTCAAATACAACCTTCTTGCCTTCAGTGGCTGCAGGGTATGACCCATTTATAGTCTGGCACCATTCCTCCTATGGCTGCTCCACCAAATGTCAAGAACCTCATACAGTATAATTTCTTACCTCTCTTTCTGGAAGCTGCCCCCTTCTCTGTCTAGGTCTCTACCGAGCATTCACTCCACCTGCTTTCATCAGTATGTATTGATCGTGGTTTCTTCAACCATTTCTGTTTGTGTTCCTCTTACAGCTTGTCGTTGGAGGGACTCATTTATGCTATGAGACCTCAAATGCAACCTTCTTGTTTTCAGCGAATAATATCACTGACCGTAATATGTGACCCATCTATAGTCTGGCAGCCAAGATGTTTTAATCATTTACAATTATGAAGAGTTTATTTCTGACCCTGATGACCCATTTTTTTTTGGAAAATGACCCTTGTATGGGCTTTCCCATGTTTGCCTAGAACAACTGTGTAGTTTATCTAAATGTTTAATTCTTCTAAAAAATTGGTTTAGCAAAGGGCTGATCCATCTGATAATTCTTGTTAATTTTGAGAAGTCTTACAGTGATGGGTGATATGCTACTCTTAAGGTGTAAATGTGGCCATCCCCAGCAACCTCCTTGCTATCTCCAATGTCAACTCTTCTACTGGACACTGAGATTTCCTTGTATTTAGATTTCTTTACATGGGTTCCACCAGTCATTTTCTAGCTTTAGTATTTTCAGCCATTTCTAGGGCTCTTCTATAGCGCCCATCTATCAAGTGCCCTGCCAATTTAATTTCCTCTGTACATAGTGGTCATATTTTTAAAGTAAGTTAGTTTGTCTTGACCGAGACCGAGTAGACCGAGCTAAGAAATGCACAATATGACCCTATTATGAAGAGACAGTCTAAACCAACAATGCACTGTAACATTTGCATGAAAGGCATCCCTAAACTGATGGAATATACTGGTCTCCTAAGGGTCACACCAGTAAGTCCAACCAGCAGAGAGTGCTTTCCAGACTGAAATACTTTAGTCTGACATACAATGTAATAAGGATGCCGCAGTTCCATTCTGTTTTCTTCTGGCTTGGTGTAATTGGTGACCTGTGCTTTGAATGATGAGTTAGACATATCATTGTCATTGTGCCTATGGATTTATCCAGTGCTGTAATTATGACAACACCCTTTAAAACAAAAATATAATATAAACATCAGATGATATTGTTGACTGTGCTGATTGATAAGTGTACCCAATAACCCTATCAATACTCTTAGACCAATCTTCCAAATCTCCTCCAGTAAAGCTGGCTTTAAAATTGTCCTTCACCAATAACCTGATCCCATTTCTATTTGTTTTTATTTTGGTGTTCCCCTTGATAATTTAGCTGCTCCTCTATAGAAGATGTTATACCAGAAAAAAAGATAAAATAATGGGCATATATGAAGCCTACATAGCAACAGATGAGTGACTGTCCTTATATTGCAATTGCAATGTGGACTCCCACTTGACTTGAGAAAGAGAAGAGAAATGAAGGTTCTCATACATCTACACCTCCTAAGGTCTTCTTGCAGGTGTGTCCTTATAAAAAATGTAGTCCATCCAAATGTTGGCGGCCTAAGAAGTCACTGAGAGGCAGGCTACGATTCATAAATAGTGTGTTTTCCTCCATCAAGGATACAATTTGGTTCTGTCAGGTATAACCCCACAATTTAGCCTCTAGCAAGCAAAGTCTTCAAATACCCCATGATGTGTATAATGCCGATGATGGTTTGGAAGCATTGTTGTGGCATAGGCTCCTTCTGGATGTCGTCCATGGACTTCACTCGAGCTCTAGATTGAAGAAAAAAAGACAAAGAGGATCTGTGTACATATATATATATATCTGTCAACTGTTCCCAATTATCCAGAGACAATCCCATGTTTTGGAGTTTTGTCTACAGCAGTGACTATTTACAATGTGCGGCTTGCTTTGTGTTTTTTTAATGGATATCTTGCTGCCTGTTTGATCTAGGCTTTTTTGTTTATATTTTTAAAAATACAAAAACTGCATTTTGATAATGCAGTTTAAACAAAAAACGTAGGGATAACATGACCTGGAACTGGATGCAAGCAGCAGTTCATTTTGTAGTTAAGAAAAAACAATCAACTTTTGTTGTACCTTCAAGTCTAACTTGATACCATTTATTAGCTACCTAGTTTATTAAGGATAGACCCTTTCAGAATGCCCTAGAGCCCTTCTTTAGGCTTTATATAAATATATTGCACTTGTAATTAAGAATGTCCCCTGAAGGTTTTAATATGTTGACTCTGTTTATACAAAGAGCTCTACTGGATTCTGGTATCAGTTTATGGTGGCATATTGGGCTAGCCCTCTGCCAGACAATGAATTTGAGTCACCCTCTCTTTTCTTCCTGGTAACAAATGTCACCTGGACTGAAAGTTAGGACCCAGGACCTCTGTTGCATCTGGCAGTAGCTATCTTTCTGTGCCACCTTAAATGCTGGGCAGTCCCCTGACTGATCCCTTGGACAACCTTACTTTCTGTCTTGTTTCTGGTAAACCTTGAACTCATTGCTCTTCACATGAACTTCCTATTTAAGCCTTTCCTTTGAATTTCCTACTTGCAAGATTATTCTGCTTTATTTCAGCCAATATGCGGCTCCTTAGGCCCCTTCACACTGATGGTCTGATCAGGTCTGCCTGTCAGTTTTTCAGGTGGACTGTGTCTGTGTGCACTCTGCAGCAATGGAGCGGACACAGATCTGTCATCCGCCTTCTCGGCCGGGATCATTGGAGAGATCCCCTACTGAGCAAGTGGATCCGCTGACGTGTCTGCCCCATTTGAAAGGGGCCTAACACTTCTGCTGCCCTCCTCATTACCACTCATCACCGACATTTGGCTTGTTTTTTGGCTATGCTTCCTCTTGATCCCCATCTGCAACCACATGTCACCAACCTCTGGCTTATTTACTGATTACACTTCTGCTTGATTCCTACCTGCTACATCTGCTACCGGACCCCAGCTTGCTCTCCTTCTGGTGGGGCGATCCTGATGACTGCAACCTGGTATTAGCATGCAGCAAAAAACCACCTCCACCATCAGGAGCTCTGGTGGAAACCAGCTAGTGCTTAGACCCTGCACCTCGGGTGAGCCCATGTCACCTGCCAGGGGGACCTGCTTGTGCATTATCCTGCTGGTTTCTGTGTGAGCCTACACTGCTATAGCTATTGGCTTCTCAGCCTGACCCCTGACAGTGATAGTAAAGGCAATGCCAAAATTTTGAGTTGTTACCAGAACAGTATTAAGGAGGAAATCTTAAAGTGGGGACACTTACTGTAGTGATAGCTTGAAGAAGATATCCAAGGCTTTCGAAGGATTTACCTTTGGAAATATTTCCTCTCACTTCCTGGTGTGCCTGCCCAAAATCACCCAAATGGGACTCTGATGGCAAAAAAAACCTAACCTACCTAAGCATTTTAGCCTTTCCATACTTTCATTTTTTGCTTAGATCTACTTTAATTGGGAATTTAGACGCTTCATTAGTGCTTGTGAACACATTGTGTTTTTTTTACATTTTTAACCCTTTGAGGACCATACGATTACGGAACGCCAAAAAATAATCAATTTTTTGTTTTTAAAGTTCGTACACTCCAGTTGCTGTAACTAAGCCATTTCATGAAATAATTGGCAAAAAGCTAGATCCATTTGTTGATAAGAACTAATATTTTGACTCAAACCAAAAAAAAAAAAAAGTATTTAAATTTTTTAATCAGATACAGGCAGTTAAAAACATGGGACAAATACGTCCCTTGGTCCTCAAAAGGTTAATGAATCTTACAGGGTAATGTAGACTGGTGGCTTGAGTAGACTGTGCTTTGTGTTGCATGTTTTGTTTGAATTGTTGTCAGTGGGAACACACTGCAAATGCATGGCAAGTGCAGAGCAAAACATTACATTGCCTTTGACATGTGTCTAAACTGTTTCTACCACCATGTTCTCCTAAAAAAAAAAAAATTATCTTATAGATCAAATACCTCAAACTTAACGTAAAAGCAATGATGGGCTTACCCCAATAGATTTTTACCTGGTCATTCAGGTCGTCCATGACAAGTGTTGAAATGTTCTCTGTGGGTTTTCTGACGGGGGATGGTTTCCGTTTAACTAGCCTGTTCACTTTGTCCCGTATCACCTGAAGTAGAAGGAAAAGTCTAAGTAAAGTCAAAATAAAAAACAAAAATCAGCACAAGGGTTATGACTTACTATTAATGTGCTATGTCCCTTGTGCTGCTGGCTCCTGGCTTCCTTATGTAGCACCCTCTTAGGGTAAGATGCTAGGGGAATTTAGGTTTTTGGCTCCTTCTGCAATCAATGAAGCAGTGATTGTTTGGTCTGGTCTGTTCTGGTCTGTTCAGGGTTTCACAGGCTGGGAGTTTGATTGTTTTCCGCTGCCTCTAGAAGAAGTTTCTAGAGCCTAGTGAGGGAGAAGTCAAAGAACCAGCCTGATTATTGATCAGGGCCTAGCCAATCCCTGTGAAGGTGTGCCCATATGATGGCTGGGAAGCTGAGAAATAGTCTGGAGCTCTGGAGAGATTGTCTTTCCCCAGGAAGGAGAGGAAGGAGAGTTCCAAGTCTGAAGGGGCTGTTGCCCCTGAGGCAGCATGTAGACTGTGTTGTTGTTCTGTAAGGTCTCAGCGGTGGCAGAGCTAGGACCTGGAAGTGATCTGGAACTGACTACAGGATTTCACCAAAGAGTCTAGAGAAGGTTGTCTCACTTATTGGATTGTGTCCGGAGGAGGCTGAAACATTGCAGCTGTCCTGGGGATCTTGTGAGTCTGAATTGATTCCTGGTGACAGTGTGCTTTTGGGACATAAGTGCTAGAGGTTACTTGGACTGAGATGGCTCTCATAGAGTCTCAAATACTGGCCATTGCCTGTCCTTAGCTGTGTCTGGGACTATGGACTTAGAGAAGAGTGCCCCCCTGTACCGTGCAGTGTGCCTGAGATTGCACTGGATATCAATAGCTGTGCATGGTGCAGGGTAACCAGATGCCAAAGAGACTTGCCTTATGGTCCCCAGCTGTGAGGCCTTTGACTGTCCAATATTCACAGTGCTTAAGGAGAAGACTGTCCTCTAATTGCTGTTTGCTATGCATTTTGGAGTATCCCATGCGCTGACCCTCTCTTGTTACTAGTTCTATCAGCAATAAACTACAAAAAGACAACCCCTAGACTGATTACCAGGGCCGGGGTGAATGGACTGTTGCTTGGGTGGCTGGTGACCTCTGTACTGTTTGGGAGAGAACCAGTTTAAACCAGTGGGCCTCTGTGGGGGTAACGATACACTTGAAACTTTCCTCCATCAATGCCATACCCCACCTCTGCTGTTGTAACCTTCCATTGTGGCAGGGGTTAATAAAAGTGAGAGAACTGTCATTTGCACTTATCAAAAGTACCCAACTATGCCCTCTGTTTCCGCCTAGTTCCTCCATTCATAGAAGTAGTACTATAGCTTCTAAGAATGAAATGTAATCTATGAATGGAGCAGGCAGATCCATCAGTCATCTGCCTGTCCTCTATGCAGTGATCCTGTTTTATTCATAGATGCTGTAGTACTTGCTTCTCCAATAAAAAAATATATTCTCTGGTATCAGAACTAGGTGGCATCTGGTGAGCTTAGTCAGCCCCGAGCTTCTTATGTGTCTTGGATACTTAAACAGCGAGATCTCCCTGACATAATTCCCTACTCTGCTGCCACTCACTTGGGAGTTTTGGCTTTTCTATCCCATCTTTGTGTGTTCCAACTCCTCCTGTTACTTTTCCCATAATATAGATATATAAAAAGTCAATCAGGGATGGTGGGAACCCTCATAAAAGGCACATCAGGTATGCAAACTCGGGAACTCATTACAGAGGTTTTACCGACAGAGCCTCCGAGAAACAGAAGAGACTATCAGATGCTTGATGTTTTAGACCCAGCATCTACCAAATATTGGGTTCATTGTTTCTTTAAATACAAGGCTGAGTAATTCCCTGGAGCATACATAAACTCTTTACATTTATATTTCCTGGAGGCCATTAGTAGCTCTTTGGATGTTAGGTTTACAGGCTATTTGCCAGTTGGCGCAACTAGGGTAATCTCCCTTAACATAGAATAGCTATTGTTATGTTCAACAATTTACTTTTTATTCTTCTGACATTAAACACAGCGATTGGGAGTTCTCATAAATATGCTCCAAAAAAACCAATGCTCCTTAGACATAATAATACATTGACAATGAATAGCTTTCACAAACTGGTTATTGACATTTGTTATGCTACAAAAAATCTATTCTGCTGAGATATGAATCAACCATCCTGGACCACAATTGGTGTCCTGATTAGTAATAAGATTTTCCCATTGTACAAATTAACATACACTAAATGGCCTAAAGTTTGCATCACCTTACCTTCACACTTTTTTGAGTTGAACATTCCATTAATATGGAGTTGTTTCCTCCAACCCTGTTTGTCCGGTGGGTGTATAGTAGTGCTGGGCCAAAGAAATTTAAGATTGAACTTGTGTGTATAAAGAGGTAGAACTGCCTTGTGGAGGTTGTTCTATAGTAGAGGTATTATGTATGAAGACCTGTTTGCAGTCCTAGGTTGCTACCTCTTTGGTCGCGGGGAGTACACCATTTACAAGATAATCTGTTCTGAATGTGGGGTTAGGAGCACCAGTTAGAATGGTCACATAGCTCGATAAGTAGTATAAAATGTTAATTAATTAAAAAGGTCAGACTATTCTTCTGCTCAGCTGTACCCATGGGGTCTCTTGCTCTGACAAGCAATCCCCTACTCGACCACAACACGCACCGTAATGGGTCTATATTTGCTTACTAGTAGCTTGGAGATTCATCCTTAAACATTGGATCACTTTACAGGCTCCTAACATAACAGAAGTAAAATGGGAGCTAGAACTTTTACTTTATAGGGAACATCTGGACCTTCTCCAGGCATTGGTCACCTGCCTAATGAAGGGGTCCTGCGAGACTCCAAAACGTTGCCTTGCTGTAACTATGTGATAGTTTTTTAAGACTTTTGGACCCATATTAGTGATCCTCAGTGTGCTGGTGACATTCTCCCTTGCTGATTCTGTTCGGTTCCAGACGAAGGTCGCTACAGCAACGACTTATATGCACAGCCATGTTTAACACAGGAATGTGTGCGTTTGGATTGCACACTTGCATCTGGACCTTCTGACCCATAATCCTGGCACTGAAAAAAGCTTCACTTATCGATGTCAATCTTTCATAGATGTCTTCCTGTCAACTCTGGAAAAATCCACTTTTCACTCTCCTTACGTTTACAAGGAATGGTACTCTGTCTCTCACTATATGGATATTAGGACAACATCTCTGACAAGTGAGTGAATGTATTACTACTCAAAAAAAGCAAGACACACCATACCTAAAAGTCTTAGGTGACAATCTCCTGCAATGGAACCCTTCTACTTTCCACATTATTTAAGTCTACAGGATGGAATTGTTAGGTTTTCCTTTTATTTTCCTCTCCACTCTCCCCTCCTTTCTTTTTCCCTGCGCTCTACAAGTGTCTCAAGGTTTTGATTACTATAGTTAGGTTTAAGGTACTAGTAGCTACCAGTATATTTAGCACCTTTAACATTGGATGATGATCTTTGTCTTCCACCACCCCCCCTCCTGGTCCTTGGTGGGGATGGGCTTCAAGGGTCTCTCTTTTCCATCCAAGCTTTCAGGTATAAATTTACTTATGCATTGTAACAACAGTACAGCCAGAGCTTTGGCTCTTATCTGACTCTTGTTATTGCAACTTCTTTCCCTATCCTAAGATTTATTTGTATAATCAAACTATTCTATATGTTATATTGACCATTTAAGGTCAAAAGTTCTTCCCTCTACCTTCTTTCATTTTTGGTTGTTCTGCTATTACATCTTTGTCATTTGTAACACCTTATTAAACTTTGATAAAATATAATTAAAAAAAGAAAAAAAAAAGAAAGATCAAACTTATTTCAGGGAAAATAGCCTCCGCCTCCACCTCCTCCGAAGCTTTAACCTCATGGTATTTGTTTGGTAGCCTGTTTTGGGGCTTAATGAACATTGGGTGTCAATGTATCCTCATTAGGCGTGTACAGTGTTGGCCACAACTGCATAAAGAAAGAGATTTGGGAGTACTTATCTCAGATGATTATAAAATGAGCAAACAGTGTGGCCAGGCAGTGGGGAAAGCTACTGGAATTCAAGGATGTATCACTAGAGGGGTCACCAGCAGGAGGAAGGAGGTCCTTATTCCCCTATATATCTCTATAGACCTAATTTAGAATATGTTTCCAATTCTGGAGACCACACTTACTAAAGATATTGATAAGATAGAACAAGTGAAACAAAAATGGTGAAAGGTCTGGGGGATAAAACATATCAGCAGAGACTTCATGAATTTAATATGCACAGTCTGAAGGAAAGAATGGAAAAGGGAGACATGTTGGAAACCTTTAAATACACCAAGGGGGTGAATAGGGTTCAGGAGGGCAGGATTTTTAATATGAAGCGAAGATCAAGAACACGGGGATATGGCCTCAAACTAACTGGAAGAAAGTTCAATCCTAATCTTAGAAAGTACTATTTTGCAGAGGGAGTAGTTGATGCTCGGAATAAATTTCCAGCAGATTTAGTGAGCCAGTCAACAGTAAGAGGATTCAAACATGCTTTGGGCAGACTGGATGAACCACCTAATTTTTTTACTGCCGTAACTTTTCTCTGTTTCTACAAGGGAGACGGTTGGCTAGTATGGCTACTTTTTATCAATAAACTATATATACCAATTGTTGAGCCATCTAAACCCCTATGAGGCTACACCAGCCTCCATTGAGGCAAAAGAGCATTTGTGGGGCCAGGTACTGAGAAGATCTGGCTCTCATTGGCATTTTTATTCATCCCAAAGGTGTTTGGTAGGGTTGAGATCAGATACTAATTTAGGATGAGAGGACCTGGCTCCCAAATGGCATTCCAATTCATCTCAAAAGTGCTCAGCAGAGTTGAGCTCAAAGCTCTGGTTGAGTTTTAAAGCCCTTTTACTGCTCATTAAGAATATGTTAATCTCTATAGCAGGGGTATACAATCTTTTGACCTTCCTGGGCCACATTGGAAGAAGACGAATTGTCTTGGGCCGCACATAAAATACACTAACAATAAGGATAGCTGATGAGCAGAAAAAGTCGGGCAGATTACAAACTAATGACCACTGATATAGATACGGTACCTATCTGAATAATAAAACTTCATTTTTTAAAATATAGTTTTTATTATAAAAGTAAAAGAAGGCAACAGAAAACTAGTGCGATATTTGACACTTTTTTTTCCCTATAAACTAACGCATCAATATCTGGTTGGATGGATGGAGTAGCAATTCTCAATGAATTCTCAAGGTGCTCATCAGATATTTTGGTTCTAATTTTGCCCTTTATTTGCTTCATCTTTGAAAATAGTTGCTCACAAATATAGGTGCTGCCAGAAACTGGTGACTTGAATAAGACATGACTGGGAAGAATGGGAGATTTTTCTTTGGGAAGATAAAACTTATAAAAGTTCATTAAAGAGACACTGTCACATTTTCTTTGGCCGATTGTGTCGCCAAGTGTATACACATTTTTACAAACAATTCCAAAAAAAAAAAAAAAAAATCAACATTTTTATGTACCGTAAGTTTGTGATTTTGTGTTGGTCCACATTCATAGCTGTCTTGGGCCACATGTGGCCCATGGGCTGCATGCATTGGTGTATTTAGGTTTTGTGCTGCCCTAGGCAACAAAACAAAATCGGGCGCCCCCCCATGGAGAGAGCCTGACATTGACCAACAACACCCCTGCCCACCCCCCTGAGAGAACCTTCCACTAACACCCCCCCCGATGGCAAGAGAGAGAAAGACACTCACCTTCACAGCTCTGGACTTCCCCCGAAACAAGAGTTGGGCTCTCCATACACCATCAAGCAGCCCGCAACCTCTCTCGTATCTCACCTGGTCCCCATGCCACGTGTCCCTTCTTCCATCCCTTCTTCCAGGGGGGCATAAATGCCACCCTAGGCGTTTGCCTTATGGTAAATAGGCCCCTGGCTGCAGGTTGGACACCCCTGCTCTATAGTTTGGGCACAGGTGCACTTTAAAGGTAAACTCCAGTCTGGAAAGTACAAAAGCTGGTGCAGCTGTGCATAGAAACCAATCAGCTTCCAGGTTTTATTGTCAAAGCTTAATTGAACAAGCTGAAGTTAGAAGCTGATTGGCTCCCATGTACAGCTGCACCAGATTCTGAGTGCTCTAGTTTTAGTAAATCCCCCCCAATGTGTTTCAAATAATACTTACCTCATATAGGTAATCTAATATCTCCAGAACGGTGAGGATACTGGCCCCAATAAACAGACCCATCTGGCCCCCGATGTCTCCTGATGGAGAATAAAAAAGGATTCATCAATCCAGGCCAATAATATTTCTGATCTGTCATTATTCCTACTTTTGGCTTTCAGGCTGAGATTTACCAGGTTTTCAAAATTACAAACCCATTTTAACCACACCCGAATAAAAGTCAGGTCTCCATCTGTAGCCACACCCACAAATCCTTCCCACATTTTTAACACACCCACACAGACTTTTTGAACTAGAACAGCAAAAGGTTAAATGCCGCTAATAGGGCAAGCAACATAAATCCATAAAAGTCCAACTTGAATGAGTAGTCCTGTAATAATTTCCAAGGGCTCACCTAGGGCAGCCAGCCCAGAGTAGAAAGCAGCTGCTGTAGTAGTAGAAAAAGGTAGAGAGGGGCGCCAACTAAGTGTAGCATTAATCCACTTTATTAAAATGCAATTGTCAGCACACTAGGGGAAAAAAGATCCCAGACATTTCTCCACAAAAACATTGCTGTCTGATGATTCTTCTAGCTCGGTACAGCCGCCAGGCTCTGTGTGTTAGGCTCGGGACTGCTGGAAACCGAAACCGGAAGTGCCGAAACCAACTCTGGAGTATCCAACACAACAAACACTTTACTCCTGCGCTAGGAAAGGACTCAGTAGACCCAATAGGAATGTTCTGGCATTTTCTGGAATATGCACTGCTTGCTGACCTCAACAGACTGGGGTGGTCCAAATACACTGGATACAAATGGAGAAACAGAAAAAGGGCGCATCGACCTAGTGCATTATCGTTTAAAATAATTTATTGAAGAAACAAAATAGGTATCATACTCACAATGGACATAATAACACAGGCATGTCAAAGTGAACAAGATGTATGATCCAAACAACATCTGAGTCCATACGATGGAACCCTGGAGGACCAACTGGTTAACGCGTTTCGAGGACACAACCTCTTCCTCAGAGCCCACTGTTTCCTCTTTGGCTCTGAGGAAGAGGTTGTGTCCTCGAAACGCGTTAGCCAGTTGGTCATCCAGGGTTCCATCGTATGGGCTCAGATGTTGTTTGGATCATACATCTTGTTCAGTTTGACATGCCTGTGTTATTATGTCCATTATGAGTATGATACCTAACTTGTTTCTTCAATAAATTATTTTAAACGATAATGCACTAGGTCGGTGCGCCCTTTTTCTGTTTCTCCAATTGTAACCAACTCTGGAGTGGAGAATAAAAGACAGAGTGCACCTACCTTGCGCATTACCTCAGTAAACAATTAATCGGAAGGGGAGACTCTCAGAGTGAACTGATGCGTTTCGAAGGGGGGGGGTCCCTTCTTCATCAGAGTTAGCCAGACTGAGAACCCTCTCTTCTTTATATAGTCAGTATCAATGTGTGAGTTCTCCCCTTTTTGGGAGGTCTCTCCTTCCGATGGGATGCGCACGTGCCTCCTTATCATGTGGTTCGATTTTGGATTGTCCATGCTTGTTTTACTACTACGTTTGTGGGTATATTTCCTAAATCAATAAATCAATTAATTTTTTACTGAGGTAATGCGCAAGGTTGGTGCGCTCTGTCTTTTTGTTCTCCACCAGGGGCGGACTGACAACTTATGGGGCCCCTGGGCAATAGGGGATCATGGGGCCCCTGTGTCCTTGCCCAAACTCAAAAAAGCCTATGTAAAAAGGTACCAGGGGCATCTCATGGGGTCCCCTATTGACCCCGGGCCCTCGGGCAGTGCCCGAGTTTCCAAATGGTCAGTCCGCCCCTGTTCTCCACTACAGTTTGTATCGAGCTTCCCTGGCTTCGTGTTAGAGCTGCACAGCCTTTGATCGGTCCTGGACGAATTCCCATACTCTCCAATAGTATTGGTCCATCGGCTCCCTACTGATCTGGGTCCCTGAGCGCAGGAGGTGTTGCATTTGTGTTTACCAACTCTGGAGTGCAGGTGCGGAAGCAACGTCACATGGGTTGTCCTGCGGGCGTAGCTCCATGTATCGGAGCTTCCATCTCCTTTCTCAGGCCAAGCAGGAAGATTCATCAGTAGGACAGACATCAGTGTTCTTATGGAGACATTCCTGTGATATGTTTACGCAGTGAGTTGCTAATTGCATTTTTAAAAAAGTGGATGTTTTTAATGCTACACTTAGTTGGTGCCCTCTCTCTTTTCCTTTTTGGAACTAGAATCAGACAAAATAAACAGATTTCAAATAAGAGGCACCAAGTTATGCATGCATGGTTAGAAGGGATGCTTTAAAGGTATTAAAAAAATGTGGTGCGCGTAGCACGCCTCTGCCTGTGAGCAAATAAAGCTTGGAGGGGCGCTGGAGGACGCTGTATGGGAGAGCTCTGTGTACATTGTCAGTGCTTGCTTACAGCACAGCTCTGCTGTATGTCCCTACTGCCAGGAACTGACCCCTCAAATCAGGGACTATCCCCTGCAAATGGGGACAAATGGTGACTTGAATTAACACATTTTTACATAACTTGCATTAGATAGGAAATTTGAATGAATTGACTAGCAATGCACTGAAATGTCCAACAAAAGGGATATGTACCATTTTTGGCGATTATGTTGTGCGGCAACACGTGACCTTAGTGTGTCGGGGTGCCATTCAAAATTACTATCAGTGTAATGCGCTAATGTATAATAACGCATGTAGCAGTAACACACCACAGAGGAAACCAATGGGAACCCAACCTTGTTTTCTAATATCCACAAAGACACTGGGGAGGGGGGGGGGGGTTATTTATTAAAACTGGAGAGTGAAAAATCTGGTGCAACTCTGCAGAGAAACCAATCAGCTTCCAGGTTTTATTGTCAAAGTTTAGGCAGCTCAGCTCTGGAAGGTTTTACCCCTTAATGATCAGGCTATTTGTTGCTATACGGCACTGCGCTACTTTAACTGAAAATTGCACGGTCATGCAACACTGTACCTAAATTACATTTATGTCATTGTTTTCACACAAATAGAGTTTTTATTTTGGTAGTATGTGATCACCACTGGGTTTTTTTTAATTTTAATTAAAAATAAACAAAAAAAAAAACCCAATATTTTTTACTTTCTGCTATAAAACATATGCAATAAAAAATGTTCGAAAAAATTATTTTTCATAAATTTAGGCCAAAATTTATTTTGCTACTTTTTTTTATTAAAAAAAAAAAACCCCAATCAGTGTATATTTATTGGTTTACGTGAAAGTTATAGCGTTTTCAAACTATACTGGAATTTTTGTTTATTTACTTTTTTTTATACTAGTAATGGCAATGATCAGCGACTGACAATGACACTTTGTGGGCACTGACTAACTGACACTGCTATCACCAGTGACACTAATACAGTGATCTGTGATAAAAAATATACACTGTCACTGTATTAATGACACTGGCTGGGAAGGGGTTAACATCTGGGGAAATAAAGGGGTTGCCTAGAAAGGGTTAACCACTTTTCTGCCAAAAAAAAAAAGACAGACAATTTTGAAAAAAAAAAACCCCAATATTTTTTACTTTTTGCTATAAAACATATCTAGTAAAAAAAAAATCAAAAAATCAAATTTCGTCATAAATTTAGGCCAAAATGTATTCTGCTCCATGTCTTTGCTAAAAAAAATGCCAATCTGTGTAAATTAATTTGTTTAGTTATGAAAGTTATAGCGTTTACAAATGGCGGTATATATACTGGTATTTTTTTGTATACTAGTAATGGTAGCGATCAGCGACTTATAGTGGGACTGCGGGACTGTGCCGGGAATTCTGACACTGGGGGGGAAACTGATAAACTGACAACCCCAGTGACACTAATACAGTGATCAGTGCTAATAAAAAGCACCGATACTGTACTAATGACACTGGGCAGGAAAGGGGTTAACATCTGGGGTGATCAAAGGATTAACTGTGTGTGTTTTGCTAGGGAGTCATGCTATGCAGAATAATACAAACAGCATGCTGGTGCTGACAGGGAGAGATCTGTGTTGTTTACATACAGACCTCTCCCACTTCAGTGATAATCGGTGATCACCGGTGCCTGGTGATTGACAGCTGTGTGGGTAGGGCGTACGCGCTCCCTACCTGGAAATACAAAATCACGTATATATACACATGACTTTGCACAGCCCTGCCGCCCTGTAGCAGTAGTTGTGCTATAGGGCGGTGGTGAAGCAGTTAATGTGTTGACTGTGTGGTGCTTTAAGTAAGGGATGTGCTGGTTTTTAATCCCTGCTGTACAGGGAGACAAAAACCGGCTCCCTCCCATCCTCTCTTGTCACTCGCTCCTCGCATCGACGGGTCCTGGCCATAAATCATTGTGATCTGCATGTGATGGAGCCAGTGACAGCACAGGGAGGTTGGCGGGCACACATGTGCCCCCTGCCCAGAAATGCACAATCATATATATATATATATATACTGTATATACACATGTGATTCTGCGCAGCCAGCCTGCACTGTAGCGGAAAAACTACAGTGCTTGATTGGCAAGTGGTTCATTGAACAAGGTGAAGTTAGAAGTTGATTGGTTACCATGCACAGCTGCACCAGATTCTGAGTGCTCCAGTTTTAGTAAATCTCCCCCTTGGACTCTTGTTTTTAAAGGGCAACACCTCCACGTTTCTTGACATAGGACCCACTGTCACCTTTTCACAGGGGACCTAGCTATTGCAGGTTATATAGAACCTTGAGGGCTCCACTCACCGAGCAGACTGGCCAGGTCATACGCTTTCTTCTGCTCTATGGTTCCATAGTTCAGAGCTTCAAAGAAGATATCCAGGACTAGGAAGTTGTCTCTGCCAGGAAAAAGAGTGTGATCAGTTTGTACTGCTGCGACAGGTAATAATTGTTCACACACATGCGCAAACTATGCACCTGGATGAAGAGATCATTAAAGCTGGACTCTGGGATAAATAAATTGTCTAAATCCATTCATCCTGTGTATTCTATCAAAAGGAATAATTAGGTTATTTTACGAGAGTTGTTAAAATATTGGTGGGCTTTGTGCATTTCTTCCAAATCTGTGCAGTAATCTGGTCTGAGACTTTCCTTCGTGTAATAAGACCGCTCACTGTTGTTCTCTCTGCTAGTGCCGGGTGACTGGTCTTGTTTCCGCCTCCTCCTGTAGTTTTCCACAGGCCCCTCCCACAGCTCTGCTCTCTGCACAGACTATGTAAAGAACAGCGATGATGTCGCTGCTACTTTTTTACAAGGTAGTATCTGGGCTTAGCAAAGGCATTTCGTGCACACAAAGTGGATTTATATTCTTTACTGAGGAATATTAGAAACCTTTTAGTGCTGCTCCAAGCCCTAGTTTTAATATGCTGCCCACTGGAGCTCAGGAATGGGGGTGCTGGCATCCTTTCACTCATTCATATCAATGTGTGTTGGAAATGTTGGACGCCGGTCGCCCAGCCTGGTACATAGAAGTGTGAATAATGGCCCCAGCCAACACCTCTCCACTGGCCACGCCCTCTGAGGCATTTCACCCCCACCCATTGGTGCTTAGTCATAGAGCACCTATGAGTAAGCCCCTGGGGGGCGTAGCAAATGAGTCAGGGGGCGTGACCAGTGGAGGAAGGCTGGCTGAGGCCATTATTTACACTTCTATGTAACCAGGCTGGGCGAGGGGCGTCCAACATTTCCTACACACATTGATAGGAATGAGTGAAAGGATGCCAGCACCCCCATTCCTGAGCTCCAGTGGGCAGCATATTAAAGCTAGGGCAAGGAGCAGCACTAAAAAGGTACACGTCTATGTACCGGGCTGGGTGAGCGGCGTTCAATGTTTTTTACACACGTACTGAGGAATATATGTAAAATTTTTGCTCTAAAGAATGTGTATTTTTAATATGATGAACTCAAATCTACAAAAAAATTGTTTTTCTTCATTTCTCAATGGCAGAGCTGTTTAGGCCTCCAGCTAAACCCCTCTAAAAATGTTGTCTGGAGTTCTGAAGTTGGTAGACAACATAGTTGGGTTGATTTAAAGAAAAAAGAAAAAAGAGAGATTGTTCACTTAGCAACATCAGCGTTCACTTTGCAAACTGAATGCTCACTGAGCTGTATTCATTTCAAACAACCAATCACGTGTTTACAAATAATCTTTTTTGTTTTCTTTGTAATTTTCATGATTGGTTTCTGGATTCTCATGATTCATATGATTGGTTTTTTAGCATGAACACTGGATCACCTGTCTTACGATATTTCACTTTGCATTTATTCACAAAGGAAAAGTGATAGCCAATACTTGTAAATCAATCCTAATGTGTCACTGTAAAAAAAAAAAAAATCACAGCCTTACTATATATATATATATATATATATATTATTTCAGGTACTTATATAGCGCTGTCAATTTATGCAGCGCTTTACATATACATATATTGTACATTCACATCAGTCCCTAATCCTCAAGAAGAATACAATCTAAAGTTCCTAACTCACATTCATACATATACAGTGGGGCAAAAAATATTTAGTCAGCCACCAATTGTGCAAGTTCTCCCACTTAAAAAGATGAGAGAGGCCTGTAATTGGCATCATAGGTAGACCTCAACTATGAGAGACAAAATGAGAAAAAAAATCCAGACAATCACATTGGCTGATTTGGAAACCTGGTGCAGGTCTACAATTTTGTTTCTGGTGTCCTTCGACAGCTCTTTGGTCTTCACCATAGTGGAGTTTGGAGTGTGACTGTTTGAGGTTGTGGACAGGTGTCTTTTATACTGATAACAAGTTCAAACAGGTGCCATTGATACAGGTAATGAGTGCAGGACAGAAGGACAGAGGAGCCTCTTAAAGAAGAAGGTACAGGTCTGTGAGAGCCAGAAATCTTGCTTGTTTGTAGATGACCAAATACTTATTTTCATAATTTGCAAATAAATTCTTTCCAAATCAGCCAATGTGATTGTCTGGATTTGTTTTCTCATTTTGTCTCTCATAGTTGAGGTCTACCTATGATGCCAATTACAGGCCTCTCTCATCTTTTTAAGTGGGAGAACTTGCACAATTGGTGGCTGACTAAATACTTTTTTGCCCTACTGTACATACTAGGGCCAATTTAGATAGGAGCCAATTAACCTACCAGCATGTCTTTGGAGTGTGGGAGGAAAATGGAGTACCCAGAGGAAACTCACGCAGCCACAGGGAGAACATGCAAACTCCAGGCAGGTGGTGCCAGGGTTGGGATTCAAACCAGCGACCCGAGTAGTGCCAGGTGGAAGTGCTAACCATTTAGCCACTGTGCTACCCCAAATATATATATATATAAATGTATTTATTTATTTTGGTTTACATTTCTCTTTTTTTCCCAGACAAAATTGTCTTTTTGATTGCTTTTGGAACACCAATTGCTGATCCATATTAATATATAGGCAATGAGGTAGATTTATTAAAACTAGAGCACTCAGAATCTGGTGCAGCTGTGAATGGGAGCCAATCAGCTTCTAACTTCAGCTTGTTCAATAAAGTTTTGAAAATAAAACCTGAAGCTGATTGGCTTCTATGCACAGCTGCACCAGGTTTTGCACCATGTAGCTTTAGTGAATAACCCCCAATGTCTTCCTTATCACACTCACTTTGGATATCCTGCTGTCTTCTGAGATTTTGCAGCCTCATAGGTGCAATGAATGAACTCAGATGATAGTAAACTAAGGGGGTTATTTACTAACAGTGCATGGTGCGAAATCTGGTGCAGTTCTACAGTACATAGAAAACCAATCAGCTTCCAGTTTTTTTGTCAAAGCTTGATTGAACAAGCTGAAGTTAGAAGCTGATTGGCTCCCATGCACAGGTGCACCAGATTCCGAGTGCTCCAATTTTAGTAAATCTGCCTCATTGCCTATATATTAATATGGATCCGCAATTGGTGTTGCAAAAAAAAAGACAACAATGCTGTCTGGGAAAAAAAGAAAAATGTAAACCATTTTTTAGTATCTGTTTACCTAAAATAATCAATTTATATATATACAGTATATATATACACACATAGTTTATACATATCTGATGCACAGCTGCAGTCTTAGTAAATCTTCTCTAATGCAGCCATACAAGGGTCCAATTCCGAACGGATTTTCTGTAGAAAATCGGAAATTTTGTGCATTTTGTAATCTGATGGTACCACCACTGATTCCTAAAATTCGACCAATCAAGCCTTTAATTTTATCTCATGTTGCTACAGGAAAAGAATTCTCATGGCTAAGAATTTTCTTTTCTTTCCAGGTCACAGCTCACGCTCATTTCTTTTTCGATTATATTTCTCAACGATTCTCCCATTACTGATTAGAAATTAGTTTGTTTTTAAAAAAAGTTCAAATACGCCTGATCACTCAAATTCCATGGCCTTTGCTGTGGCCAGCTAATGGTGTGAAATCTGAACGAAAATTCTTAGAAAAGATTTTCGAAAGAAAATTCTTTCAGAATGCGACTTATGTATGGCCGGTTTAAGTAGTCTTTTTCGGACTGTAGTATACACTGCAGTGGCGGACTGACCATTTGGAAACTCGGGCACTGTCCGAGGACCCGGGGTCAGTAGGGGGCCCCATGAGATGCCCCTGGTACCTTTTTCATAGGCTTTTTTGAGTTTGGGCAAGGACACAGGGGCCCCATGATCCCCTATTGCCCGGGGGCCCCATGAGTTGTCAGTCCGCCCCTGATACAGTGTTTCTACTCTGAATTTTATTGGCTATTGATTGATTTGACTTGTTTTTGAGACTGCCCTTAAAAGTGACCCTGTCACTAAAAGGTCAACGTTAAGGGGAGCCAGGTATTTCACCCACCCTGGAGTATCAGATCCCTGTAGTGGCCAGAAATCTGCTACTTGGCATATTTTTAAGCTGCGGGCCACTGTAAAGGTAAATATCCTTTTCTTTTTAAAGGATGACTTTAGTTTGATGTAGGATCTAGGGCTAAAATTTGAAGTTGAGTTGAATGGGTTGGACTCTTACCGGATATACGTCTCATTCCTGTTGTATTTTTTGGCCAGGTAGCGAGCGGATCCTTTGTTGGGGATTCGAACCATGGAGATCTCTTTGTTGTAACGGGTTAGGTTACAAGGTGTGGGGCAAAGACATCTGTCACTGGTATCTTCCACCGTGGAATCTGCAAAGGGAAGAGGGAACCACTAAGTAGATGGTGAGATAAAGACAGTGCCTACAGATCCCATGGCATGGGTTTCTGAGGACTGCCAAAAATGCAACATGCCAGGGGCTAACCAAACGTAACAACCATCATCCAATTTAATAAAAAATACCCATAAACTGGTTGCCCACCAAAAGGAACACTAGTATTTTAAACAATCAAACACCACCGCTCTGGAACCCGGACTCCCTCCAACAGATTTCAGGTCCACCGCCGTGTCAGTTCCCTCTCTGGTAACCAAGGTCCCGCATATAGCCTCCTCTCAGTGGTCCTAGAAGTGTTAGCTCCTTCTTACTTCCCTCCTTTCTTCTGTATCAAGGAAAACACCACCGGTCTGTAACCCGGACTCCCTCCAACGGATTTCAGGTCCACCGCCGTGTCAGTTCCCTCTCTGGTAACCAAGGTCCCGCATATAGCCTCCTCTCAGTGGTCCTAGAAGTGTTAGCTTCTACTTACTTCCCTCCTTTCTTCTGTATCAAGGGAAACACCACCGGTCTGTAACCCGGACTCCCTCCAACGGATTTCAGCCGTGTTAGTCCACCGCCGTGTCAGTTCCCTACTCTGGTAACACCAAGGTCCCCGCAACGGATATAGCCTCCTCTCAGTGGTCCTCTCAGTGGTCCTAGAAGTGTTAGCTTCTACTTACTTCCCTCCTTTCTTCTGTATCAAGGAAAACACCACCGGTCGGGTCCACCGCCATGTCAGTTCCCTCTCTGGTAACCAAGGTCCCGCATATAGCCTCCTCTCAGTGGTCCTAGAAGTGTTAGCTCCTACTTACTTCCCTCCTTTCTCCTGTATCAAGGAATACGCACCCACTCAGTACACCCTCACTTACAACAGAAGGGGGGAGGACGCGCACACATATGATGTCACCATGAAACCTCCTATTGGTCTGTCGTGTTTGCACCTCCACCATTTGAACTTTCTATAGATTGAATACTTTATTTTTTCACATTTTAGGACACGTTAATTATAATTTTTGGGGTTTGTTTTTTTGTTTATGTTAGTGGGTGGATTATCCACTGTTGTTATATATATGTTTGTGGATATACGGAAAGTGTGAAGTATTGCTTCACATATTTTCACGCTTATTTAGAACCCCCATTTGGGGTTACATATCACGTCTATAGGCATTTGGCCTATTTTTGTGGTGTTCACCCATCCCCAGTAGGGGGTCACTATTGTGTATATAGTGATTGTTAGGGATTTACAGGCGTTGAGCCTGATTTTTTCTTTCTTTCATAATTACCACATTTTGTGGTTTCACGGATTCACTTTATTTATCCCATATTGGGATCACTGGCATTGTTTACATTCACAGTTATTTTGAGTTTATCAAAAAAGAAAGAAAAAGCGCCAAAAATTTATTTAAATAAATACAAAAACCGCAGCAAACCTAAAACCTCAATCAAGGTGAATAATACAAACAAAAAAATAGGAATGCGTTGTGAATTACTAAATATACATCTATAATCAAAAGTCCACATAAATAAAGTCACTTCAAAATTAGTGCACAAAATTATTTTTTTCAAAATCACTTCAAAAATTGGTGCAAAAAATATATATTTTGTATAATTGTGCTCATAATCCACCACCAGAAGAAATAAATAAACTCACCAGAGCTTTTTGCTGATTAATTAAAACCAGCAAAAACGCTGTTGCTCTGGGAGCAGTGAAGTATCCAAGTGGCAAAATCAATACTCTGTATTGAAGAGGGATATCCGAGATTGGGAGCAATACTCTGCAACTGAAGCATCAAACCAGCACCTGGGAACCTTTTATTAAATGTATCCTCCAGTCATAGTCAAGGAGCCACACTCGGGAATAAAGAAAGAGGATGATGGTGCAGCGAGTTTAAAACATTATATTTAATCAAAGGTAAGTAAAACACTCACAAATAAGGTGTCACGCCGACACCAGCATGATAGGCAGTCAGCAATACCATCAGATTGCAATCAGCGAGCAAACCCGCTTACCACGGATACCTCCGCTAGACAGCAGGGAACGTCCTGACGTCACGACATCCAGGCTCCGCCTTACGCGTTTCGTCACGTCATTTGATTCCTCTTTCTTTTTTTGTAGGTTTACCACAAGGAGTGTTTTCACTGATTCACTTTGTTTCCATCACACTAGTTTATCCAGGACATGTAAAGTTTACATGCGTTTATGTCACTATATTTATTTACTGGTGTTGTCGTTCAGGAGTTCTCAGTTTCACAGCATTTAATATATGTGTATTAATATTGTTTATATTAGTGGATTGTCCTACTTAGGAGAGGGGGTGGAGAGGTTGTGGGGTTTATGCCTCATTTGACTTAGTTATCTATTATTGTTTTTTAAGGGGATATTGTTCACCTATTTACTGTATATTACATATCGGGGCTCACATATAGTTTATTATTAGCGCAGCACCACATTTTACAATTTGGGTTGACCATTTTTTTTGGTATGTGGTTAGGTGTTAGCAGCTTTAGTCACAGGTTCACCTAAGCGCAGGAGGACTTTGAATATTACACTAGTATTTTATATGGATCAATCAAAAAATACAATCTTTAATAGTCCAAAATTAGAGAACAGCAACCTATGACATCACAATTCTACAACCCCTCCATGCAGCATGAAAATAGTAATAAAGGGGAATGATGGCTATGATAGGCCTCTGTACTGCCCATACATTCCCGGTATGTTGGCATCTTTCAAATAAATCGTTCTTGGCAATTTGCTAATACGGTGAATGTTTCAGAATTAAGCATTATAATAATTTCTCAAAACAGCAATCTGCAGCTTAGCCCTGCAAATATTTCATGTTTTAAGACACAAGTCGATCATTACCATCTGCTTTATTAGAATAATTAAACGTTTGTGTCTTACAGGACATATAAACAGGAGATTCGTTCGTACCTAGTGTGTTGTCAGCACAGTCAATGTAGTCCTTGGGAGAACAGACGGTTTCATTTCCTATAAAAATATGATGAAATAACTATTAGACAGAAATTAGAGCTAAAGATTTAAAGTGTTACTAAATCCACAACAGTACAATCAGTCTGTAGATGCAGTAAAGCATGCTTGTTATACTCACTCTGGAACCTAAGGGGTTAATCCTCTGCATTGTGTAAACAGGATGTTTGATCCTGTCTTCTCTGATCCTCTTCCTTCACTGTCCCCTAAATATCTCCTGATAGAACAGAGGTTTGGAGTCACTCTGCACATGCTCAGTTTAGTGTGTATTGCTAGAGAGAGTTTTTTTCTCTCTCGGGAGAGTGCATGTGATCAGCACAGGGACAATCAGCACTGTCCAGACAGAGCTCAGGGGGGCTGCTGCCTCATAGGGGAGAATTAAAACTCCACCTACAAGCTTTAACCAGTGCTCTGCTGGACACTGATAGAAGTCACAAGACTGCTATATACTGCTGATGAGAAAAGGTATTTATCAGTTTATATTTACTAAAATAATTGCACTTCAATCTTGTGTGTACTGTGGGAGACCAGATATAGTGAATGCAGGTTCTGGGAAGACCACATATAGTAAATGCAGGGTCCGGGGAGAGCGGATATAGTGAATGCAGGGTCCGGGGAGACTAGATATAGTGAATGCAGGTTCTTGGGAGACCAGATATAATGAATGCAGGGTCCAGAGAGATCAGATATAGTGGATGCAGGGTCCGGGAGACCAGATATAGTGAATGCAGGGTCCGGGCGGACCAGATGTAGTGAATGCAGGGTCCGGGGAGACCGGATATAGTGAATGCCGGGTCCGGGGAGACCGGATATAGTGAATGCAGGGTTCGGGGAGACCAATCAGATATAGTGAATGCAGGGTCCGGGGAGAGACCAGATATAGTGAATGCAGGGTCCGGGGAGACCGGATATAGTGAATGCCGGTCCGGGGAGACCAGATATAGTGAATGCAGGGTCCGGGGAGACCAGATATAATGAATGCAGGTTCTTGGGAGACCAAATATAGTGAATGCAGGGTCCGGGGAGACCAGATATAGTGAATGCAGGGTCCGGGGAGACCAGATATAGTGAATGCAGGTTCTTGGGAGACCAAATATAGTGAATGCAGGGTCCGGGAGACCAGATATAGTGAATGCAGGGTCCGGGGAGACCAGATATAGTGAATACAGGGTCCGGGGAGACCGGATATAGTGAATGGAGGGTCCGGGGAGACCAGATATAGTGAATGCAGGTTCTTGGGAGACCAGATATAGTGAATGCAGGGTCCGGGGAGACCAGATGTAGTGAATGCAGGGTCCGGGGAGACCAGATATAGTGAATGCAGGTTCTTGGGAGACCAGATATAGTGAATGCAGGTTCTTGGGAGACCAGATATAGTGAATGCAGGGTCCGGGGAGACCGGATATAGTGAATGCAGGGTCCGGGGAGATCAGATATAGTGAATGCAGGGTCCGGGGAGACCAGATATAGTGAATGCAGGGTCCGGGGGGAGACCAGATATAGTGAATGCAGGGTCCGGGGAGACCGGATATAGTGAATGCCGGGTCCGGTCCGGGGAGACCAGATATAGTGAATGCAGGGTCCGGGGAGACCAGATATAGTGAATGCAGGTTCTTGGGAGACCAAATATAGTGAATGCAGGGTCCGGGGAGACCAGATATAGTGAATGCAGGGTCCGGGGAGACCAGATATAGTGAATGCAGGTTCTTGGGAGACCAAATATAGTGAATGCAGGGTCCGGGGAGACCAGATATAGTGAATGCAGGGTCCGGGGAGACCAGATATAGTGAATACAGGGTCCGGGGAGACCGGATATAGTGAATGGAGGGTCCGGGGAGACCAGATATAGTGAATGCAGGTTCTTGGGAGACCAGATATAGTGAATGCAGGGTCCGGGGAGACCAGATGTAGTGAATGCAGGGTCCGGGGAGACCAGATATAGTGAATGCAGGTTCTTGGGAGACCAGATATAGTGAATGCAGGTTCTTGGGAGACCAGATATAGTGAATGCAGGGTCCGGGGAGACCGGATATAGTGAATGCAGGGTCCGGGGAGATCAGATATAGTGAATGCAGGGTCCGGGAGACCAGATATAGTGAATGCAGGGTCCGGGGAGACCAGATATAGTGAATGCAGGGTCTGGGGTTTAGTAATTTATTTCAGAACTTCAATTCAAAAAGTGAAACTCATATACTATATAGATTCATTACACACAGAGTGATATATTTCTTTCTTTTAATTTTGATGATTATGGCTTACAGCTGGTGAAAACCCAAAATTCAGTATCTCAGAAAATGAGAATATTGTGAAAAAGTTCAATATTATAGACTTATGGTGTCACACTCTGATCAGCTAATTAACTGAAAACACCTGTAAAGGTTTTCCTGAGATCAATAAAAAAAGGATTTTTAATACAGAAATGTTGGCTTACTGAAAAGTATGTCCATGCACAGTATAGTATGCACTCAATCCTTTGGCATGAATTACTGCATCAATGCGGCGTGGCATGGAGGCGATCAGCCTGTGGCACTGCTGAGGTGTTAATGGAAGCCCAGGCTGCTTTGATAGCGGCCTTCGGCTCATCTGCATTTCTGGGTCTGGTGTCTCTCATCTTCTTCTTGGCAATACCCCACAGATTCTCTATGGGGTTTAGGTCAGGTGAGTTTGCTGGACAATCAAGCACAGAGATACCATGATCATTAAACCAGGTATTGGTATTTTGGCAGTGTGGGTGGTGCGAAGTCCTGCTGGAAAATGAAATCATATCTCCATAAAGTCGGTCAGCAGAAGGAAACATGAAGTGCTCTACAATTTCCTGGTAGATGCTGCGCTGACTTTGAACTTGATAAAACACAGTGGACCAACACCAGCAGATGACATGGCTCCCCAAATCATCACTGACCCTGGAAACTTCACACTGGACCTCATGCAACTTGGATTCTGTGCCTCTCCACTCTTCCTCCAGACTCTGGGACCTTGATTTCCAAATGGAATGCAAAATTTGCTTTGGACCACTGAGCAACAATCCAGTCCTTTTTCACCTTAGCCGAGGTAAGATGCCTCTGATGGTGTCTCTGGTTCAGTAGTGGCTTGACACAAGGAACACGACAGTTGTAGAACATGTCCTGAATACGTCTGTGTGTGGTGGCTCTTAAAGCACTGATACCAGCTATTGCCCACTCCTTGGGAATCTCCCCCAAATTCTTGAATGGCCTTTGCTTCACAATCCTCTCAAGGCTGCGGTTATCCCTGTTTCTTGTGCACCTTTTTCTACCAAACTTTTTCCTTCCACTCAACTTTCCATTAATATGCTTCGATACAGCACTCTGTGAACAGCCAGCTTCTTTAGCAATGACTTTTTGTGACTTATCCTCCTTGTGGAAGGTGTCAATGACTGTCTTCTGGACAACTGTCAAGTCAGCAGTCTTCCCCATGATTGTGTAACCTACTGAACCAGACCGAGAGACCATTTAAGGGCTCAGGAAACCTTTACAGGTGTTTTGAGTTAATTAGCTGATCAGAGTGTGACACCATAAGTCTACAATATTCAACTTTTTCACAATATCCTAGCCACTATCAAAGCAACCTGGGTTTCCATTAACACCTCAGCAGTGCCACAGGCTGATCGCCTCCATGCCACGCCACATTGATGCAGTAAGTCTTGCAAAAGGAGCCCCGACCAAGTACTGAGTACATACTATACTGTGCATGGATATACTTTTCAGTAAGCCAACATTTCTGTATTAAAAATCCTTTTTTTATTGATCTCAGGAAACCTTTACAGGTGTTTTGAGTTAATTAGCTGATCAGAGTGAGACACCATAAGTCTATAATATTTATCTGAACTTTTGGTTTACAATTTACTCATTTTCTGAGATACTGAACATTTTGGGTTTTCACTAGCTGTAAGCCATAATCCTAAAAATTAAAAAATTGAAAGAAAATGATTGGGCAGAAAATTGAAATATAGCACTCTGTGTGTAATGAATCTATATAGTATATGAGTTTCACTTTTTGAATTGAATTACTGAAATAAATTACTAAACCCAGGACCCTGCATTCACTATATCTGGTCTCCCCGAATCCTGCATTCACTATATATGAGTCTCCCCGGACCCTGCATTCACTATATCTGGTCTCCCCGGACCCTGCATTCACTATATCTGGTCTCCCCGGACCCTGCATTCACTATATCTGGTCTCCCCGGACCCTGCATTCACTATATCTGGTCTCCCAGTACCCTCCATTCACTATATCTGGTCTCCCAGTACCCTCCATTCACTATATCTGGTCTCCCCGGACCCTGCATTCACTATATCTGGTCTCCCCGGACCCTGCATTCACTATATCTGGTCTCCCCGAACCCTGTATTCAGTATATCTGGTCTCCCCGGACCCTGCATTCACTATATCTGGTCTCCCTGAACCCTGCATTCAGTATATCTGGTCTCCCAGTACCCTCTATTCACTATATCTGGTCTCCCAGTACCCTCCATTCACTATATCTTGTCTCCCCGGACCCTGTATTCACTATATCTGGTCTCCCCGGACCCTGCATTCACTATATCTGGTCTCCCAAGATCCCGCATTCACTATATCTGGTCTCCCAAGATCCCGCATTCACTATATCTGGTCTCCCAGGACCCTCCATTCACTATATCTGGTCTCCCGAGGAGAGGAGGATCCTGGCTGCTCTGTGCAAAACCACTGCACACAGCAGGTAAGTATAGACGTGTTTGTTATTTATGTTAGACCCCCTCAACAACAATACAGCTCCTGAAACAAAATACCCCCAGCAACAATAGACCCCCCAGGCAACAATAGACTCCCTCAGCAACAATACAGCCCCTGAAACAAAATACCCTCCAGCAACAATAGGTCCCCCAAGCAACAATAGACACTCACCTGCAACAATAGACTCCCACCAGCAACAATAGATCTCACAGCAGATAGCACCAATAGACCCTCAAGCAGCTAGTAGCACTAGACCCCTCAATCCACATTAGATCCCGCCTAGCAACAACTGACCCCCCCAGCAACAATATATCCCCCACTAGGAAACATAGACCCCCTGCAACAATAGAGCCCCCGCAGCAAATACATATCCCCCAGCAACAAGCATTAATAGGCTCTCCAACGCAGCCCATCACCCCTTGCCATTACATACATTCAGTGCTGGAGGTAGAACTGCGTTTCCCCTCGTTCCTGCAGAAAAAAATAATACCTAATAATACCTAATTACTAATGCTAAATGGATAAAAATAAATCTAAACCTGATTACCTAATTGGGCATCACCTGGGGTAATGTTCTCAGGCTGCCTTGTGACAGGGATTGGTAATAAGGATGGTATTATATCCTAATAAAGGTCATCCTGTCCTTGATGAACAAACATTACAACCCGCATGCCCAACCAAACACCATAGAGGGTCCCCACTCCACTCCCAGTACCTGGCATATGCACCATACGGCAGTCGCACTTCCTCACCACCGCTTCCTTCTCACACTGCAGCCGACAGGCGGAGATGCTGTACGTACTGTAACCGGGCAGGAATTTCTCTCCTGGAACGGGGGCTCTGCAGTTACCCCAGGGCTGGGGCAGGTAGGTCAGCTGGGATGCAAAATGCAAATTTGTGTCATTAAGTGGTTATTACATCTCCTTTACTACTTTATATATTAAAGAGCAACACAGGCTAAAATCTAAAAACACTTGTTAGTTCTCTTGTGCACACCTTCACAAGTCATAATTTAATTTAAATGTAAAGTACCGTATTTTTCACTCCATAAGATGCACCTGTCCATAAAACTAGATTTTAGAGGAGGAAAACAAGAAAAAAAATATTCTGAACCAATGGACTGCAGACACAGTACAGAAGATGACCAGAGACTGCAGACATAGTACAGGAGATGACCAGAGACTGCGGACATAGTACAGGAGATGACCAGAGACTGCGGACACAGTACAGGAGATGACCAGAGACTGCGGACATAGTACAGGGAATGACCAGAGACTGCGGACATAGTACAGGAGATGACCAGAGACTGCGGACATAGTACAGGGGATGACCAGAGACTGCGGACACAGTACAGGAGATGACCAGAGACTGCGGACACAGTACAGGGATGACCAGAGACTGCGGACACAGTACAGGAGATGACCAGAGACTGCGGACACAGTACAGGAGATGACCAGAGACTGCGGACACAGTACAGGAGATGACCAGAGACTGCGGACACAGTACAGGAGATGACCAGAGACTGCGGACACAGTACAGGAGATGACCAGAGACTGCAGACATAGTACAGGAGATGACCAGAGACTGCGGACATAGTACAGGAGATGACCAGAGACTGCGGACACAGTACAGGAGATGACCAGAGACTGCGGACATAGTACAGGGAATGACCAGAGACTGCGGACATAGTACAGGGGATGACCAGAGACTGCGGACATAGTACAGGGGATGACCAGAGACTGCGGACATAGTACAGGAGATGACCAGAGACTGCGGACACGGTAGAGGAGATGACCAGAGACTGCGGACATAGTACAGGAGATGACCAGAGACTGCAGACACAGTGCAGGAGATGTCCAGAGACTGCGGACACAGTACAGGAGATGACCAGAGACTGCGGACATAGTACAGGAGATGACCAGAGACTGCGGACACAGTACAGGAGATGTCCAGAGACTGTGGACATAGTACAGGAGATGACCAGAGACTGCGGAAATAGTACAGGAGATGACCAGAGACTGCGGACACAGTACAGGGGATGACCAGAGACTGCGGACACAGTACAGGAGATGTCCAGAGACTGCGGAAATAGTACAGGAGATGACCAGAGACTGAAGACCTTTGGGGAGCGGGGGGGGGGGGGGAATGGGGAACCCAAATTTGACAGGTACTCGCTCCCACTTACGCGGAGTTGACCTCCCCGTAGTCTTGTGGTACAAGTGACAGGTCCCAGAAGACTACGGGGCCATTCACAAAGCGCAGCGCTTCTCGTGCATGTGCAGTGGGCACCCGGCTGTCACAGCCGGGTGCCCATACTGAAGATGCCGGCGCCAGGGAGAGAGAAGACGGCCGGTGAAAGCAGGACACAGCTGGACTGAGGAACAGCTAGAACCGAGGAACAGGTTCTTCTGCACAGTAGAACCGAGCAGCCGACCTGGTATTATCACGGTGGCGGCGGGAATTCCTGGCCGGCCACTTTTATATTCACTCCATAAGACACACAGACATTTTCCCCCATTTTTTTGGGGGGAAAAAGTGCGTCTTATGGAGCGAAAAATATGGTATATGGTAAATCCAAAAACAGAAATGTAATATATTGCAGCTTATCAGTCCTTAGGTGTGAGGCTGCATTTGTTTTCTTTTTATAATCCCTTTTTTTTTTGTTTTTTTTCTTGATGATCCGGCCAGTAACACACTTCTTTTCCTAGGGTGGCTGCACTCACTTCTCCAATTTATCTATGGAGCAGGGGTGGACTGACCATTTGGAAACTTGGGCACTGCCCGAGGGCCCGGGGTCAGTAGGGGGCCCCATGAGATGCCCTCTGGTATCTTTTTCATAGGCTTTTTTGAGTTTGGGCAAGGACACAGGGGCCCCATGATCCCCTATTGCCTGGGGGCCCCATGAGTTGTCAGTCTGCCCCTTTGGACAGCAGCATTGCCACTCTGTGGAAAGGGTAGTGTCAGAAGGACTAGTAGATTTAGACAGTCTTTACAAAATGAAGCCCATCTCCAGCTAACTTAAAGAAGAGCTTCAGTCTTGTTTTGAAAAATTAAAAGTCAGCAGCTACAAAAACTGTAGCTGTTGACTTTTAATAAAGAGACGTTCACCTGTCCCAGGATCAAGCTCTGTGCTCACCCAAGCTGGTCTCTTCACCACTCTTCGGTCCCTGGGTCCGGCATATTAACTGTGGGCAGCCGGCTTTGAATGCTTCTGGCTTCACAGTCAGCTGCCCACTGCACATGTGCGAGCCATGCTGCGCTTTGTAAAAAGTTCTGCAGCCTTCTGGGACCTGTGATGTGTCCCAGAGGACTGCGGAGAGGGAGGGGGGGGGGGGAGGAGAACGTCCACTTGGAGGGAGCAGGTACCTGTCAAAACCAGGTATCTGCTCCCCTACCCCTCATAAAAGTGGCAAACATGTCGGGGAGGACGAATGGAACTTCCCCTTTTGGGTGAAGGTCTGCCTTAAAGTACCAGTTCTGTAACCCAATGGACAGGAAGCAAGGGCACTTGGGTGGGTTACAGGAGAAAAGAGGTCAAAGTGGGTGTCACCCAAGAGCACAGAGGAGGCGGAGCAGTGACACAGACATTGAAAAGTGTCATCCAGTAAGAGGGAAATCACAGGAATACGTGTTACTTTACAAATCTCTTACCAGGTTGCTCAGCGCCTATAAATTTATTTAAATCACGTAGCCAGAGCCGCTCTTTAAGTCAAATTAATTGATCGAGTTATTTATCTTTGTAAAATACTAGACATGCTTTGTTTGCTGCTCGTGCTGTCTAGCTACTTTCCCAGGGCAGTAAAGTTCATGGCACCAAGAGTGTATTTAACATCTTGGCAAATAAATGAATTTCTGCCTAGGGTGATATTGATTGTTTATGGTAAACATATCAATAAGTTCCTTATTTGTCCGCAATTGTTCAGTCTCCACTAAATGAAAAGGTTCTATTTATAAAAGACAGGCAGATCCAGTCCCATCCACAGGATTTAGTATCCAGCTGGCAAAGGGTGGCCAAGAGCTAAAGGTTAAGAATGCAAATCAAGAACTTGAAAAATCTTCAGTGCATCCAAATTCCAAATATGGATATTATTACATACATGGTGTTCCAAATTATTATGAAAATTCTATTTAAGTGTCACAAAGATTAAATATTTTGTTTTTCAGTTTAACTCATGGATGGCATTGTGTGCCCGGGCTCTTTTGATCACTGAAAACAATCTCAGACACCTGTGATAATTAGATTGGCCGATGAGCCCAATTTAAGGAAAAACTACTAAAGGAGGGTGTTCCACATTATTAAGCAGAGCACCATTTTCAAGCAATATGGGGAAGAAAAAGGATCTCTCTGCTGCCGAAAAGAGTGAAATAGTTCAATGCCTTGGACGAGGTATGAAAACATTAGATATTTCATGAAAACTTAAGCGTGATCATCGCACTATTAAGAGATTTGTGGCTGATTCAGAGCACAGACGGGTTCGTGCAGATAAAGGCACATTGAGGAAGATTTCTGCCAGATCCATGCATTGGATCAAGAGAGCAGCTGCTAAAATACCATTACATAACAGCAAACAGATATTTGAAGCTGCTGGTGCCTCTGGAGTCCCACGGACATCAAGGTGTAGAGTCCTCCAGAGTCTTGCAACTGTGCATAAACCTTCTATTCGAGCACCACTAACCAATGCTCACAAGCAGTAATGGCTGCACTGGGCAGAAAAAAATACATGAAGACTAATTTTCAAACAGTCCTGTTCACTGATGAGTGCCGTGCAACCTTGGATGGTCCAGATGGATAGAGTAGTGGATGGTTGGTGGACTGCCACCCTGTTCCAACAAGGCTGCGACGTCAGCAAGGCGGTGGTGGAGTAATGGAATCATGGGAACAGAGCTGGTTAGCCCCTTTAGGGGCCCCGAAGGTGTAAAGATGACCTCTGCAAAGTATGTGGAGTTTATGACTGACCACTTTCTTCCCTGGTACAGAAGGAAGAACTATGCTTTCCGTAATAAAATCATCTTCATGCATGACAATGCACCATCTCATGCTGCAAATATTACCTCTGCATCAATGGCTGTTATGGGGACAAAAGGAGAGAAAGTCATGGTGTGGCCTCCATCCTCCCCTAACCTCAATCCTATTGAGAACGTTTGGAGCATCCTGAAGCAAAAGATCTATGAGGGTGGGAGGCAGTTTACATTCATTCAAAGCAGCAGCTCTGGGAGGCTATTCTGACATCTTGCAAACAAATTCAAGCAGAAACTGTCCAAAACCTTACAAGTTCAATGGATGCAAGACTGGTGAAGCTGCTATCAAATAAGGGGTCCTATGTTACAATGTAACGTGACCTGTTAAAGTGTTTAAAAAGTTAAAATGTTGTTAAAAGTTTGATTGAAATAGCTTTTAAATTCAGTAAATATGCTGCAAAAAATGTAAATTGGTCTCAGAATGTTGCCCATGCCAGTGTAATGCAATCATTTATACAATGTGTCAAATTATCAATGCTAAAAAAAAAAACCCTCTGTTTTGAAATCCACCTGACAATGGTTGATCAGCCTTTTCTTTGTAATCCCCTCCCTTCCAAAAAAACTTTTTTTGTGGGTGGTTTGCTTCTCCTTCCAAGTGGGGGACCCTGACATCTAACGCTGGAGTGGGATCAAGCTATTGACTTCTATAGATCTCTTTTGGATATCTTGCAAACACTCTTTACATCCAACAGTTTGAGCTTTGATGGGATTTGATAAGATGAATGGCGCTCTCATCTTATGTATTAAACTCATAATCACAATAGGATCAGTGTAACCCTACATGATCCCTTGGGGGTCCAGATGTCCCTTTTTGCTGTCCCCTCTGATCTTCTCTCAGAAATAATTTTAGCCAGTGACTACAAAATATTGAGGGTAAAGTTTACTGAACACAAGTAGGCTGTTCATTACATTTTCATGGGAATTATTCCAAGAGCTTAGTGAGTGCATAGAAGTTCTGCTGACTTCTACTATGCAATAGTGTGAAAGCAAAAATGCTATTTTTTTATCTTTCATTGCATGGGATTGGGTGTTCTTTGCAAAGTGAACTTTCTCAATATTCAATAATTCCCTTGCAAAGCGATTTACCTTTAGTAAATCAACCCCATTGACTTCTATTTATCTTTCACCTATTTTTCCCATATCTCCTAAAAAAGCTCTGTAGAGAAACAGAAGAGCCGCACACCATACTGAGTTGTACATTAAATGGGTAACACCAGCCTCAGCTCACTCCATCCAGGCCATGTCTCCAACGTGTTTTGCCCCACCCTCCGGGACCTCCATGATGAAGCACTGAGATTGGGACAAAACACTTTGGACTAGATGAAGTGAGCTGAGGCCGCTATTACCCATTTGTTAAGGCTCCCTACAGTGTGTTCTGAGTCAGGACAGAGTCGACTCCAGCTTGCACCCTTCAGCAGAGTCCTCCGAATAGGACTCAGGTAGCCTGAGTGGAGCTCAAAAGCTGCATTCAAGTTCCTAAAAAAGCAGATTGAATATCTGTCAAAGGCATTGAGGCTTAACCTTGCCCCATCATGTGATACAGCTGACTTCAAAATCACTTGATTACCATATACTTGGGAACCTGTAAATGTGTAAACTTTATGAAAACTGAACTCCAAGATTTTTAGGTATTGCATAGTCACATAGGGTATACTTTGTACAACATAAGATATTTCATATCTGATAGAACACGGGGATACTGAAAAAACCTGTAGAAGTTGGCCTTACTATAGTGCTAGCCATGATCTTCCAGGTTCTGTGCTGAGCACCTACCGCTACGTGGTCACTTGCTTGGCACTGCCACCATTCATAGAATGATTGAATTTTTTTTCAATGAATACAAGGCATTCTCTGATTAGACGAGGTGGAGAGAAGGGGTGTTGACATCACAATCTCCACTTCGTTCAATCAGAATTCCTTGTATTCATTAAAAAAATACAGGGTGTTCTATGAATGGTGGCGGTGCCAAGCCAACAATTCCCTGTGGTCAATGTGCAGAGAGGAAGCCACTTGCACAGTACCCAAAAGATGGTGGCTATCACTGTAATAGTACCGACTTACTACAGTGATTGTCAGCCTCCCTGCGGGCCCTCAGGTATTAGGTATGCATACTTGCATAGTGCCAAGCTGGACCAATGTAAGTATGCAATACAGATAATTTCTGGAGTTCATCTGTGAAGTGGAACTAAAGGAAAAATCTTTTTTCCATTTTGGATAGATTAAGGGAGGGTTAGAACCCCTTAAATTTTTGTTTTTTTTGCCATCTTTGTCCCATTGGGTAGATTTCCCTTCACTTTCTGTCTCTAGCCAATACAAGACATGACATGAAATCCATCCAAAGTGAGGAAATTCCTGGTTTTCACCAGAACTAGTGTCTCCGTTGGAAGATTTCCCCCTCTATTCCTGTTCTGCTAAAAAACCCACACGATTTTCCTTCACTTTTGGTGATAATCAGGACAAAAAAAAAATGAGGGTGAATCTCCCTAATGGGGGCAAAGACAGCAATAGAAACCCGACCAGTGTTCTAATCCCTGTCAACTCTATTGGAAACAAAAATGCTTGCCTTTAGTTATACTTTAAAGCAGGGGTCTCCAAACTTTCTAAAATAGAGCCAGTTTACTGTCCTTTAGACTTTTAGGAGGATGGACTGTGGCCAGTGGTACAGTAAAAATGCCTCAGCATTGGTTTTTAGTGGGAGAAATAGTGCCCCAATCAGTGGAAGGAATAGTGCCCCATTGTTGGTATCATTGAAGAGAATAGTGCCCCATTGTTGGTATCATTGAAGAGAATAGTGCCCCATTGTTGGTATCATTGAAGAGAATAGTGCCCCATTGTTGGTATCATTGAAGAGAATAGTGCCCATTGTTGGTATCAGTGAGAGAAAGTGCCTCATTGTGCCAAGGAATAGTGCCCATTGTTGGTATCAGTGGAAGATAGTGCCTCATTGTTGGTATCAGTGGAAGAATAGTGCCCATTGTTGATAACAGTGCAAGGAATAGTGCCCCATTGTTGGTATCAGTGGAAGGAATAGTGCCCCATTGTTGGTATCAGTGGAAGATAGGAAGGATCATGGTAGTGCCCCATTGTTGGTATCAGTGGAAGGAATAGTGCCCCATTGTTGGTATCAGTGGAAATGGATTGTTGCTATAGTGCCCCATTGTTGCTATCAGTGGAAGGAATGGTGCCCCATTGTTGGTATCAGTGGGAAGGAATGGTGTGCCCATTGTTGGTATCAGTGGAAGAAATAGTGCCCCATTGTTGGTATCAGTGGAAGAAATAGTGCCCCGTTGTTAGTATTAGTGGATTGAATAGTGCCACATTGCTGGTATCAGTGTAAGGAATAGTGCCCCATTGTTAGTATCAGTGGAAGAAATAGTGCCCAATTGTTTATGTCAGTGGAAGGTATAGTGCCCCATTGTTGGTATCAGTGGAAAGAATAGGGTCCCATTTTTGGTATCAGTGGAAGGAATAGTGCCCTATTGTTGATATCAGTGGGTGGAATAGTGCTCCACCACTGGCATTAGTGGGACAAATGGTGCTCCTTCCCATTCGTGTTAGTTGTGGAAGAAATAGTGCCCCAAGGGCCAGATGGAGGTAAACAAAGGGCCACATTCATCCCAAGGGCTGTAGTTTGGAGACCACTGCTTTAAAGAGTAGAAAATAACAGGGCACCTATATGGGGCTGTATTGATGGTACATGAATGTATCTTTGCACATTGTCACCGGTGCTTCCATTGAACATTCCAAAGCTTTTGACTAAAAAAATAAAAGATCTGTTATTTAATTTTATTTATTTTGTTAATCTGACTTTGTGGCACCCTAAAAATCCTGCTGTTTTATATGGTTGTGGTGGCTCCCTCCCAAAAAAAAAAAAAAAAAAAAAACAGATTGTCTCCCAATTTGCACATCTAATTTGCAACATTTTTTTTTTTTTGCACAAAATTGTTATTTCAGATGCTCTGAAAGATGAAGCCCGGAGTTTACAGAAGGAACAACTCTGCTAATAAATGTTTGGCACTTCACACATAAATACATACAACGGTCTTACCCTCTGCTCCTGGCATGAGACGAAGGTCTGGAATCCAGGGGAAACTCCGAACCCCAGCTGGTGGATGTATGGTGGCTCATCCTGGCTGTGGATCTGCACCCTGATCCCGGCCTCAAATGATGTTTCATCTGCAGAGAAGAGAGAGACGGCAGACAGTCATGGTGCTAATTGTATCGGTCTTGTGGTTGCATTTAGGATTCTAATGTTTATTAGACACCGCTGGACAATTTGTGTTGCTGTAATTAGTGTCTCTGGTTCTTCTTGTACTCTGCTAAATTATTCATCGGGAATGGTGGTGATCCAAGGTTTAACCCATTGTGATACAAAAATATCTGTAGGTCTGTATTCTGGGGTACCGTGCTAGTTACACAAATGGTTCAAAGTTTTCTTACAATGTAGGTTGGTTTGTAAAATATGTTCATGCAATGCCACTGCAACCAGCGTTAGAAACTGTGCAGTATGATGCGATTGTATGGTATACACTGTACCCTACATACTTTCACCATTCCAGATTGATGCCGAGTCTATTATATATAATTCTATAGTCACAACATGCAATTTCATTGGATAATAGAAATCTATTAGGAAAGAAAAAGAGGAATTGCCATTGGTGACCACCTTCTGAAAACGCTAGTGGCCTTGCTGTCTCTGGCTTCATTGGTTCATTGTTAATTCATTGCTTTACTGATCCAGACTTTTCTCATAGTAATCAATCATACCCCAATGGTTGTGCCACTTCTGAGACCCTAGACCAGCCATTCTCAACTAGGGTTCCTCCAGAGGTTTCTAGGGGTTCCTTGAGCAATGAGCAACTTCTGCCTATCTGATAGGGGGTAATTCTTCCCAGTAACCCCAAGTATAAGGAGAAATCTTTCCTGTGACTATCAAACTAATGTTCTGTGAGTTGTAGATATAGTAATTATTAGCAGGGGCTCCCTGAGCCCGGAAAGTTATTTTGAAAGGTTCCTCCATGCTAAAAAGGCTGAGAAAGGCTGCCTTATGCTATTTTTTGTACTTTAGCTCTGAGGAAAGGGGAGATCTAAGGACCCTTGAAACACATTGGATGTTTGCTGGTCATTTAATTAGTTAGACTCTGGTTGGATTGTTGGTTTCAGGAATGGGCATTTGTCAGAATCTAAATCTCCACTCTTAAAGCAAATTTCCAGCCCCCCGCACCATTTTTTTTAAAAAACCCTTCTTACCTGTTTGTAAGTTTTGCACATTTCAGATACTCACCCACCCATCAGATTCAGCATTGTCCAGCTGAGATCCTCTTTTCTTATGGCAGTGCTCGGTCCCACGTTCCCATGTTTTGGTGTGAAGTCATCGAGAGGCTGTCAGCTGTCCCAGATTGAGCCGGCGCGCCTCCCGATGACGTCTCGCTAGGCCTGTCCCCTCTCTTACTGAATGAAAGGCTTTGCATCCTTGGATATGTGCGTATCCCATGAGACAAAGGGAGGACAGCGCACGTCATTTGCCTAGAGGAATGAGGGATTGAGGGTTGGGGCTGGACAAAAAAAAGGGGTAAATAAAGAGAAAAATAAAGAGCATTATCCATGCAGAGGACCAAAGGAGGGGTGTAGTGGAGGGATCATGTTTTAGAGGGTGAAGATCTGCTTTAAATTGTTATTAATAATACAGCCTTACCTCTGAGGGTCGGCTGTGTGTGCGGTTATTCACTTGTATTCTCTCCTTGTTAGAGCAGAATTATCAGCCCAATGTCTACATGAGGATGATCTGCCCAATGTCAGTGATCAGAACTAATGATGGTTTTCTGCACTGAGCTCAGGCAGGGTATAGAAAAGATAGGTTGCATTTACAGCTTGACACTTCTGGAGAGAAGGAGAAAATATAAGTAAATAATTGGAAAAAAAAACAGGTTATACTTGAGAGGCTGCGCTAATAAAAACAACCCAAGAGTGTATATTCAGTTTATTACCGGTGCACAATTGCAATGGGTTCTGTGTAAGAAAAAGTGTTAGCTGCCCTGCTGAACTCTCTGTGGGCTACAGAACACCTTTCCCTTTATGCTGATGAGGGATGAGATGAGGAAAGCTGTTCCATTCTGCTGCTCAGCAGGACTGACAACGCAGCTTGGGATTTCAATTCATTCAAATCAGTGTTGTCAACTACAGGAAGTTGGGAGCTGCAGGGGCGGACTGACAACTCATGGGGCTCCCGGGCAATAGGGGATCATGGGGCCCCTGTGTCCTTGCCCAAACTCAAAAAAAGCCTTCTATGAAAAAGGTACCAGGGGCATCTCATGGGGCCCCCTACTGACCCCGGGCCCTCGGGCAGTGCCCGAGTTTCCAAATGGTCAGTCCGCCCCTGGGGAACTGACTGCATTTCTGGTGCACCCTCAGGTATGTTTCAGTAATTGAAGCAATCTCAAAAAGACAAAACAGGGGAAATTGTGCATGTATTGGGTGCTGTGCGGAATATTTTTCTTAGATTTTACCAACAAAAACTTTATTTTGTATTGCACGTGATGCCTTGTATACTGGAGTATGAGGTGTGCCCTGTGTACATGAAGTAGGTGTGAGACTATACATACAACAGGTAAGTTGGATTTAGCTCTGTGTCTGCCCATAGGACCTGATACTCACTGGTCTCTCTCCAGATAGGCAGGTATTCCTCCTGTTGAATGTCAAGCATTATCTCCAGTCCATTTCCCATTCCGCCCTGTCGGGTCACTTTGGGGTTATTTTTGTTTGCGTTGAAGGTGTAGCATTTTCCGTATCTGGTATACACCTGTGAACAAGGAGAAAACTCTGTAAGAACACAATGGGCAGCACACAGGCTTCTGTAGGGGCAGCACAGTGGCTAAATGGTTAGCACTTCCGCCTGGGTCGTTGGTTCAAATCCCAGCCACGGCACCTCCTGCCTGGAGTTTGCATGTTCTCCCTGTGCCTGCGTGGGTTTCCTCCGGGTACTCCAGTTTCCTCCCACACTCCAAAGACATGCTGGTAGGTTAATTGGATCCTGTCTAAATTGGCCCTTGTATATGAATGTGAGTTAGGGACCTTAGATTGTACGCCCCTTGAGGGTTAATGACTGATGTGAATGTACAATATATATGTAAAGTGCTGTGTAAATTGGCGGCGCTATATAAGTACCTGAAATAAATAAATAATAGCTGACCATGCCTCAAAGCCTCACAGTAATATCTCTGTGTCCTATTAGTGTTATCAGCAACAGATCTCATTCAACCAGCCATGTAAAAACATTAAAGCAGCCTTTTTCTCAACTAAGGTTCCTTTATCAATGAGAAATTTCTGTCTCTCAGATAATTAGCCATTAACGCCAATGATCTTTATCTGTAAGGAGGAAATGTTCCCAATGATCACAAATGCAAGGAGCATTCACCCTAGTGACCAACAGACTAATGTATAGTGATCTGTAGATATGGTCATTATTCCAAGGGGTTCTTTTGCCTTTAAACAGTTGAGAAAGGATGCATTAAACAGTAAATGGACTTTATGGACCTTCATGTGCATCCTCTGACACCCCATCTGGCTTTTTCAACCTGCACTAGAGAAAATCTATTGGGATGCAAAAATATCTTGTTTAGGGCCGAATGACCATTGTTTCAAAAAAGGAAACATGGAGAATTGTCAGGAATTGTTTGAAAGTAACAACCAGGGTAGCATGGATGTCATTGATAAGGGAAAAAACATAAAGTATAATTTGATTTATATAGCTCTTTTCTCTTTTTAGACTCGAAGCACTTTATAAGCTGTTGGGGCAGATGATGAGGCAGCCTTCTTGGGCATGTTCAGCAGAATATGATACCAGGGGCAATTTTAGACAGCAGCCAATTACCTATCAGTTGAAGGAAACCAGGGTACCCAGAGGAGTATATAGTACACTCCAGTATAGCTGGTAAATTGGTGCAGGGACACTCTAGATACTGTCAGCTGCCATTGTGCTCTTGCTTGGTGCCCCATGTGTCCCTATACCTTCACGGAGGAGTGGGCTCCCTCTAGGCCAGTGGTACTCAACCTTCCTAATGCCGCAACCCTTTAATACAGTTCCTCATGTTGTGGTGACCCCCAACCATAAAATTATTTACCCAGTAATTATAATTCATGAGTGTCGTTTTACCTCCAATACTGCTGCTTTCAACACAGTAGCTGCTTTTAACAGAGTAGCTGCTTTCAACACAGCAGCTGCTTTCTACACAGTAGCTGCTCTTTACACATCGGAAATATGTGTTTTCCGATGGTCTTAGGCGACCCCTGTGAAAGGGTTGTTCGACCCCCAAAGGGGTCGCGACCCACAGGTTGAGAACCACTGCTCTAGGCACACCTTCCCTCAATCTATGCACTGCTATATGTGCTCCTACTTGGAAGAATCCTAAATTACAGAGTTAGGACCACAGCACACTGTGGCATACACATTTTTTGCAAATGTGTGAAGACTAAATGCCTTGTTTTTAATGTGTACTGTTGGACAGGGTTAATTTAGTTTGCTGTAGGCCTAGGTGGTAAGTGAGCTGGGAATTTTTGGTTGTTTTTGAAGGGTACCCAGAGGAAACCTATGCAAGCACAGGGAGAGCATACATACTCCATGCAGATAGTGGCCCGACTGGTACTCGAAACAAGGACCACAATGCTGCATGGCACCATATTTACAATTTAATATTAATCCATGGAAACATAAAAATAACTGTATAATAGACATTTTGAGAAGAAGAGGTTAAAAGCATAAAGTTTTCTATGTACATCTACCAACTAGGATACAGGGGTTTGTGTGGGTGGGGGGGGGGGAAGATAGTATAAAACAGGGGTTTAAGATAGTATAAAACAGGGGTGGGCAACTGTGGTTCACCAACAGCTGGAGGGCCACAGTTGTCCACCCCTGGTATAGAAGGATAAGCAAAATCTGTAGGTTATGGTCATAGTAAGAGACTTTGAATGATAAACTACAATTGCTTTCTTTTTAACTCACTGGGGTAAAATCTTCTTCTGTACAGTTTTTCCCACTGTACATGCAATAGACAAGCATGCCATCTAAGTTGTCCCCCCTAGGTTCAGGTAGGTCAGAAAGAAGCTGCTTGCTTTGAGGGTGCTTTCCAAATGAAGAAACGTTATGGGGATATTGAGTGACTGTGTTCAGCTGCTGGATTCTACAAAGGGTCACAGATGGAAAGTTTAGCTGTCTGGCCCAGATCATCTTGACATTGGTGTGCATGGGATGAGACAGCAGGTAGTAGAAGTGATCTAATGACCAGGTGAAGAAAAGACAGAAGGAGGCAATGAAGGCTGCCATCCAGAGCAGACGATGGAACAGGGAGTACGATGACCTCAAGTGGCTGAGCCCATGAATATTGGTGGTTCTCAAGAATTTATCTGTCGCTGCAGCAAAGGTGCTCTTCTCCATGATGAAGGTCCTACAGAAGCTCAATGAAAGTCCTACAGAAGCTCAATGAAAGTCCTACAGAAGCTCAATGAAAGTCCTACAGAAGCTCAATGAAAGTCCTACAGAAGTTCAATGAAAGTCCTACAGAAGTTCGATGAAGGTCCTACAGAAGTATAGCGGCACAAGGAGAGAATAGAAGAGATGGGCTTGAAGTTCAGAAGACCGACTATAAATGAGAGAAGATAGGATGTAACGCAGATACTAATAGTCAGAGAACACAGCTATCTCAGCAGTTATTAGCTGAAATCTTGTCCATCTGAGTGGTGATTACCGGAAATTAACATCTCCCCATTCACACGTCACTATTTAGATCTGTCCCAAGAGGGAGTATAACTGGGCAGACTCCAAGCACTTTGTGCAGCAGGGTAATGGCTTAGTGGAAAGTGCAAACATATCTACAGATAAAATAAACCAAGCACTGACCAAGTTTTAAAGGGAACACCCAGGATAAATAAGGCCCTGCACCAATGGCAGGTTTTGTGCACTTCAAATTCTAGTCTTGCTATTTAAAACTGCAGCAGCACCTTTACAGATGGTGATGTTATTTGGATTTTGGCAGCTTGTGTGGGATTGTTACAGGGATGGGGAAAGGAACCAGTTGAGTGGAACTGCATTGTGTGCAATGGCAAGCTTGTTGTCTGACTTACACCTCCTCTATTCAAAACTATAAAACATTGCTCTTTGATACACTTCAAGGGCTCATTTACGCTTTTGGTGTTTGACAGTTGGTGAGGAGGTGATATGTCGGCTCCAGTCCTCACCATCTACTTTAACCCCTAAAAATCCACACTGTTGTGCTGCAACTGCATGCAATGCCCTGTTCAGTTGAATGGGTTGTGTTTCAAGGGCGATAGGGATTTTTTTTCTCAGAATAGGTGCAGGTACTCCCCTTTCACAGTTACCCCTTGTCTCCGCCCCTTTACCACCTCTGAGCATCATTCTTTGGTTCCAGTCCTACTCACCTCCCAGTACTACCCCTTTTAGAGAACAGAACCAAGTATCATTTTATGGTGGTAAGTAATTTGTATGGAATTCGTTAATGATAACAAGAAAATCAGGAAACATTATCCCCTGCAGCCAGCAACAATAGATCCTCCACAGTAAAAATACCCACCAGCAACAATTGATCCCCCAATCAACAATAGACCCCCCCCTCAACAGTAAATCCCTTCCAACAACAACTGACCCCCTAACAACATAATCCCCCCAGCAACAATAGATACCCCACCAGCAACAATAGATCTCCCCAGCAACAGCAGAGCCCCCTGCAGCAATAGACCCCTTGCCATAACATACATTTAGTGCTGGAGGTGTGGGAACTGTGTTCCCACTCATTCCCGCTAAAAAAAGTCCTTTGGAGGGCAATAGTGCCCTCTAAATGCTCTGAGGGGATAATTTTTCGTAGAGCATCATGGCTATGATATGTGTACAACCCTGTCCACAGCCTTTGTAGCTTTGGGAAGAGTGATTGCGGGGCAGTAAAACAGGGTAACTGAGCCCCCTCAACCGCAAATGTAATTGAGACCTTAAAAAAAGACATAACTGAAGGGAGAGGGAAAGAGAGATTTAGTTCCAAAAGAGGGTCATGATCAGGGGCGGACTGACAACTCATGGGGCCCCCGGACAATAGGGGATCATGGGGCCCCTGTGTCCTTGCCCAAACTCAAAAAAGCCTATAAAAAAAGGTACCAGGGGCATCTCATGGGGCCCCTACTAACCCTGGGCCCTCGGGCAGCGCCCGAGTTTCCAAATGGTCAGTCTGCCCCTGGTCATGATGGTGGCCGTGGCCATAGTCTGGGCAAATTTGGCCCTGGCAAGGCCCCAACTTTTGCTGCCGAAAAAAGTGTCCTGGCAGGTGGTAGGCTGGAACTGGAGACTTTTATTCCTCTGCTACTGAGGGCTGTGGTGGAGAAGGATGAGACAGATTAGGAAGCTAAATAAATCATAACTTTTTTTTTCATGCGCTGTCAGCTCCACATTAAAACGTACAAATCTTTCATTTTCTAATCTCACCGCACAATGTTCAGCTTTGTGCTTGTGTTCTGTAATTATCAAGCAAATGCAATTTGCCCTAAAGCCGCTGCTTTTACATAGAAAAATCTGTCCTGCCTTGCTCATAACTGAAGAATGACATTACTTTAATTAAACAGCCCCTAAAATCCTGGTGGGGAGTCACCAAGGAGGACATCCGACCCCCAAACCGGATTTTAATTACATTGTCTTTGAGCAACGAGGAATATGATGAAGAAGTGGAGGAAATTTTATTCTGCGAACAAAACAAAATCAATTAGACAGGACCATGTTTGTGGGTCGGGTGGGCCAGTGGCTAG